ATCAGTGAACAAAACAGATTTTAAAAATCCCTGTCCTCTACATTTTAAAGGTTAACTTTTGCAGTGTTTTAGAAACTTACCTTCCTGTATTTAAAAAAAAATTTTTTCTTTATTGATATTAGAGAGAGAGAGGAAGGGAGAGGGACAGAGAGAGAGAAACATCAGTGAAAGAGAACCTCGATTGACCGCCTCCTGCATGCCCCACACTGGGGATCAGGCCCACAACCTGGGCATGTGCTCTGACCGGGAATCGAACTGGTGACCTCTTAGTGCATTGGTCAACGCCCAACCACTGAGCCACACTGGCCAGGCTACCTTCCTGTATTTTAAGAAAAATGATTTAGCCCTGGCCGGTGTGGCTCAGCGGTTGGAGCGTCGGCCTGTGGATGAGAGAGTCCCGGGTTCAGTTCCTGCTAGGGGCACATACCAAAAAAAAAAGAAAAGTGATTTAAACTGGATTTAAATAACATAACACTACAGGAGTGGGCAAAAGTAGGTTTATAGTTGTTTGTATAGAAAATAACACAATCATCAATAAGTAATAATACAAAAATAAACTCTGTGCTTGCATACTCACAACTGTAATCTATTTTTGCCCATCCTGTATAGAGATGTGTGTGTCAGAGACAGTTGCCAGCTTCAGATGGTGTTACTTCATAAATCCTTAAAAAAAATGCTGCAGTCTAAAACAAACAAATAGGTTAAAAACACTCTGTTCTCATGGAGCTTACAGTGCAGTGGCGGGACTAGCTAATCAATAAATACATGAAGGCTATCAATACTACTGATACATGCCACAGAGGAAAATAAAGCATGGAGGGAGGACATGGAGGGTAGTGTGGGTGTAATTTTAAATAAGACATTCTTAGAAGGCGCCCTGAGAACACTGAGAAGATAGAGTTTTAGCAAATGCCCAGCGGAAGTGAGGGCTAAAGCTGTACAGGTGTTTGAGGGAAAGACATTCCGGGCAAAGGATCCCAAGTGCAAAGCACTGGCAAGGGGATGTGCATGGCTGGAGCAGAATGAGTGAGGGGGAGTGAGGAGATGAAGTCAAGGAGGGTGTGTGTGTGTGTGTGTGTGTATGTGTATGGGGGGGGAGTAAAGGATGTAGAAATCTTTGATAGACTTTGGTTTGAACTAAGAGGGAAGTGGGGAGCTACTTTAGTCTTTTAAGTAAGGAAGTGATTTAATCCATAGGTTCTCTCTGACCTCTATGTTAAGAAAAGACAATCTAAACATTATGGGCAAAATGAGGGCAACAAGTTACAAGCCTATTGCAATAATCTAGGCAAAAGATAATAGTCACTTGGACCAAGGTAGTATTTGGGATGCATTTTTAAGGTAGGATTTGCTGATGAATCAGATGTGGAATGTAAGTCAAGGGTGACTCCAAGACTTTTGATTTGAGTAACTGGAAGGATTGAGTTGCAATTTAAGAAGATGAGAAGACCAAGAGAGGAGTGGCGTGGGTCATAAATTTAGTTTCGGACTTAAGCTTCATATGTTTACGGTCATGTCCAAGTGGAGATATTGAGTGGATATGTTATATGTCTGGAATGGAGAAATATGGGCTAGAAATACAAATTTGGGAGTTGTCTGCATATAGATTTATTTAAAATCACAGAAAATGAGTGTCCATTAAAAATAAAAGAAATTCAAGAACAAACCCAGGGGGCACTCCAGAGTGTGGACTTCAGGAAGTGAGTGAGAACGAGAAAAGAACCCCTTCTGAGTTGCCAGTGAGGAAGGAGGACCTCACAAGAGTGGTCCAGGAAGCCAAGTGACTATAGCATCCAGGAGAGATCAGTTGTGTCAAATTCCACAGCCCAGCTGAGTAACATGAAGACTGAGAATGGACCAAAGGATTTACCATGTAAACGTCATGGCTAACCTTGTCCAGAAGGTTTGTTCAATGAGTTGGTGAGTGAACAAATGAAACTTTTTCTCCATCTATATTTGACTGGAACCCAAGAGTGCAGGGACCATATCTTTGTTTCTCCAGAAGAGTTTGATAAATGATTGTAGAATTGATGGAATAACATGGCTTTTCCCTCAGTGTCTGGCCTACCTCAGTTCCTAATTAATTTTCCTTAGACTTGTAGATTGTGGGGAGCTACACAAAGTGGAAGCCAGGATATCTGGAACTGCCTGTGGTTATTTTGCTGTATCATTCAACAGAGGCAAACAAAACCCCAAACCCTATAAAGAATACATTTGTAGTCCCAAAGTCACACCTGCAAACTAACTCAAATGGATATAGTCTGGCTGCTGGGTTACAGTCATTCTTGAGATAATTAACTCATAGCACTGTTCAAAAAATATTTTCTTGGGAACTTTGATGATTCAGAGCATATAATATACCAGTGAAAATTTCAGCCCAAAACAGCTGGGTCTTGATGGATTGTTCTTTAAAAGAATAAGATTTCCCCTTGAGGAAATTATTTTATAGTAGGTACCATTTCTTGAGTGTTTACTTATGTACCACGAATTGCTCTAAAAAGCACTTTATGGACATTTAGAAAACATGAATCCTCACAACCACCCTACAGGAAAAGTATTGTGACTATCCCCCGATTTTAGATATAATTATAATAGATCACAGATGATGAAATGGAGGCTTAGAGAGATTGAGGCAACATCATAGGGATTATCTGCCCCAGTGTGGGACCCTCAGGAGTAAACTGATCCACATCAGAAATGTCCCCTGGACAGGATGAGGAAGTCGCTGGTGCTGCTTTCAGAAGTAAACTTTTCCTTGGAGGAAAAGCAGGCATAAGCTGATGCAAAACTCCATTTGTAGGTAAGGAACCTAAAGCATAGAGAGGTTAAGAAATTTCTCCAAGGTCACACAGATGTTAGTAAGGGGAGACACCAGAATTTGCCAGGGTTACATGATTTGAATGGCTAACCTCATCCCACATTCCCAAAAGAACTCACCTGAGGTATAGCAATGAGAGCTTCCTAAGAGTTGGGACTACTGAAAGGCAGCTACTAATAGAATTGTCTCGTTCACTGAAGAGCTTTCCCTGCCGTTCTCATCTCTGTGTGTTGGGAGGCAGTCTATTTCTGTCATTCAGAGAGCAATTATTCCACTCATGGCATGTTCAAGGCCATGTGCTTCTCTTCATTTTCACCTATTTATTTAGCTCTTCTTGTGAGCTCCTCTGTCAGGGCAGAGGAAAGGGGTAGAATGCTAAACATCCATAGGTAACTTTGGGGAAATGTATTATTGGGGATATGGTTAAACAATGGGCAAACATGACTTTTTGTGTGTGTGTATGGTACGTGCCCCTAGTGGGAACTGAACTCTGGACTCTCTGGTCCGCAGGCCGACACTCAACCGCTGAGCCAAACTGACCAGGGCTAACATGACATTTTATACCATTTTGTCTGTCTGAATTTTCTGGAACCCACATTAGTTTTATTAATTGGCCCCATGGTGGTTTTAGTGAGAGGTCACACACAGGGCACAGGGCCTTTATCAGATATAAGCTGTATCCTAGAAATTCACAGTGCTAAGATTGTGGCCATTCAGTTAATGGTTGTTCAAAAATTAACGATGGCCACAGGCAACTGAGTCATCAAACTTTGGTCTTCTAGGGAGGATCATGGACTCTCAAGTTTCAAGCTCCTCATGAGGCCATTTGGACTCACCCAATCTGGCTCCTGAGCCAGGGAGGGATCTCCTCCACAGGCTGCACTGAGCTCTGGTCCTTTGCTGCAAGCCATGCAGTGATGTGACCCTCAGCTTCACCAGGCAGCCCTCACGACTGGGACCAGCCGGATTTGTTGGAATCTTTCTCCGTTGAGCCAAATATCAGCCGCCCACTGCGGCTTCCACCTTTCTCTTCTCTGCTCCTCCACTACCCACTAATTTAATTGGATAACAGTAAACTTTATTTCTTAAAGCAAATAAAAAGTGAGACATTACCAATAAAATGAAAGCCCTGAGCACCCATCACCAATCTCATACTCCTCTATCTGCTTATATATTTGTTTAGACTATGGGATCCTAATGTGAAAGGGCTTGGTGGAAGCATTTATAGTGCAGTGATTAACAGAAGACAGTGGCGGGCACACACTCGAGTTTAAATGTGGTGGACGATTACAACCTGTGTCTATAGACGGCATAACTGGGCAACTTTATCCAACCTTTCTAAGCTCCATTTCCTGGTCTGTAAAATGGGAATAGTAATCACATTTATTACGTGGGTTGTTATGGGGATTAAATTACATAGTGCTGTGAAATCATTAGCACTTGGCATTTAAAGTAGCTGTTGCAAGTGTTTTCTCTTCTTCCACCTCCTGGATGAGGAAATGGGCGTTGACCGTGGGGAAGAGGTTTGTCGGAGGTCACAGCTAGTTAATAGCAGAGCGGAAACCTCATCCCAGATCTCTGACCCCTCGGCTGGGAACCCTTCTCGCTCCCCAACGCTCGTGTTGGTGTCCGCAGCGGTGCGTCTTGCCTCTGCAGATTAAAAACTCACCCCTCCTCCAAAGCGCCCACTCCACGGGGAAGCCTCCACCAATTACCATCAGTGCAGTGAGCTGGAGTCTGGGCTTCTTGCCATTTAGGAAAGTGAAGAGAGGGAAGGGGACGGAAGACACTGGCTCCTCCGGAGTAATTAAAGGTTAGAGGTGGTTCTAGGCGTTGCCCAAGCCTGGAGGAACCCTCGGTCCAGGCGTTCCTGCCATTTGCATTCCAATAAGGCTACTTGACTCGGCCAACCCGGCCTGCGGGCGCCTCCGGCAGTCCCTGCACTGCGGCTCCTGCCCCCGGAGCCCGGAGCGCGCGGGGGTGTGGGCAGGTGGGGGATAAGCGGAGCCAGGTGTGTGGGAGCCGGCCTCGGCGCCGGACGACCGAAGGGGCGGGGCCAGGGGGCGGGGCCTCCCGCAGGTGCGTCGAGCGGCTTAGGTTTCACTGAAACTTAGCCGGCCTAGGGAGGGGCGCAGAGGCTTCACGCGGGGCAGGTGCGAGGGAGGGAGGCATTTTCTCCGAGCGGCAAGCGGAGGTCAGTTTCGAATCAGTGGCGGCGGATTCCCTCTCGGCCCCGCAACGGGACTGCTGGAAGGATGCGAAGCCCGAGCCCGGTGTGGCTGCTGGGGGGCACCATCCTGCTGGTGGCCTCTGCCTCCTGCAATCACACCGTCCGAGGTGAGAAACTTGGCGGCGGAGGGCTCGTGCCGCTAAGCAGTCGGGTCCGGGGCAACAGGGGCAGATGGTGGAAGCGGGGCAGGTGCGCGAAGGGTGTTCTGCTTCCTCCAACCACTTCCCTTCCGCCCCGCAGCCTCCTCTCGGCGGCCTTGATGGGGAATCCCGGCGCCCGGAGAGGCTGAAGTCGGCTGTGGAGCCGGGGAGGGGACGGGTGCTCGAGTCAAAGGGGTACCCAGAGACTCAAACTCCCTTCCCACGGGTTGGTTTCTGTGCAAACACTAAGTCATTAAGGAGCTTTTCGCACACGCTGGCCCCGTCCTTCGGGTTGGTCCCAGGGGACCTCTGGAGTCAGGGAGCTGGTGGCTCCGGGTGGGGCGGACTGCGTGGGAGCCCGCGGCCCGGAACCTTCTACTTCTCTTTGCAACCCCCTCAGCCTTTGGACTCCCTGTTTGGGATCGGCCCGTGGCGTTCAGACCCACCGGGGCCCGCCGCGGCTCCGGCATGGTGGATGGCCCGGATATGAAAGCCGGGCTCAACGGGGCTCCCGAGGTAACCAGCGCTCAGCTTCAAGTTTGTTAGGCCAGCTGGGCGTCACGCAGATTTACGAACAGGACTCCTTGAACCCCGCCTTTATTGGACCAGGTGACCTTAGGGCCTTGGCTTTCGGGGCCCTTCGTGCCACACCAAGCATACACTGGCTGCCACTCAGGTCGAAGGCTGCCAGCCTCGGGAACTGAACAGCTCGAGCGCCGACTGGGGTGGTGCTCAGGTGCCAAATTGTTCTTGGCTACCCGGTTCCGCAGGTGTGCTGCCCTGGGTGTGCTCCAATTGTCTTGTTGGGCTGAAATCTCCCGGGCTGAGCGGCCTCTGAGGGCCTCTGAGGGCGTGGGGGTGGAGGATGCTTGGCCTGAGATCCCGCTACTGGATGCTAACCCACCCCCGCTGTCTGAGGCTGCCAGGGTAAACTTCAGTGGGACGTGTTTATTTCAATGGGAAATGTGTAGGTCTGCTGTAAAAGACAGTTTCTCACTTTTATCCTTTTCATAAAGACATTGTAAAAGAGCAAATCACTGTGAATTTGAATTAGATTGAAGAAGGTGATTGTTTTGCCTCTGGAGTCACAGAAAAGCATATTATGGTACCCTGGCCAGTTTGGCTCAGCGGTTGAGCGTAGGCCTGTGGACCAGAAAGTCCTGGGTTTAGTTCCCGCTAGGGGCACGTACCACACACAAAGAAATAGAAGCATATTATGGTGTATCCTTGAAAAGTTCACCACTGCATACATTTTGTCAGCATTTATTCATTTCTAGAAAGTATTGAAAATGATTAATATTTCACCATTTATTTTTGTCCTTTACAGTTAGAAATTTAAAATTCAGGAGCTAAACTTAGAATGTGCAAACATTTTGGAAAATATGTGTCGTCATGCATGTGATTCAGACTTTTATGATTCAGACAGTTGCTATAGGAAGCTTGTTCTGAGCATTGGTTTGTTCTTGTTTACAGCATGAGGGGTTTGGCCCAGGCCAGTGTGTCTCAGTGGATTGAGCCTCATCCCGTGGACTGAGAGGTCCCCATTCATTCCCAGTCAGGGAACATGTCTAGGCTGCAGGCTCAGTGCCTTTTGGGGGGCGTGCAGCAGGCAGTAATTGATGTTTCTGTCTCCCTCTCCCTTCCTCTCTCTCTAAAAAAAATCAATAAAAACATATTAAAAAACAAAAACAAAGTGACTGGTCAGGGATGGGGGATTCTTTGGAGTATAAGGTGAACTTAATTTAACAACAACAAAAATCTGGTTACTTGTTAACCAGAACTGTTTAATATTGCACTTTGGGTGTTTTCTTTTTCCTCTGCCTATTTTTATTCACTGCAGGGTAACTTTCCTCCCAACTTGAAACCAATTTGAATTTTTTTTTTCTTTATTGATTCTTTTTTTTTTTTTTTTTTTTAGAGAGAGAGAGGGAGAGATAAAAATATCAATAAGAGAGAACACTAATTGGTCACCTCCTGCATGTCCCCCACTGGGGATTTGGCTCACAACCTGGTCATGTGCCCTGACCTCTTTCCACTGACTACACCGGCCAAGCCAAATTGATTTTGATTAAGAAATAGAGCATCACCAATGTTTTTTGGCTCTCGGCCCATGCCTTTGCTCATTCCCTTTTAGTTGACCCTTATGCCTGCTCCTCAGTTTGCTACAAGACAAAGGCCTTATCCCAAAAGACTGCCTCATGGAAGGAATCTCAGCCTAGAGTACAACCATTTGATTTCATTTTACAGATGCAGGCCACAGAATAGGGGGTGGGAGTGAGCAAGGAAAATACTCCATCAGTCTTCCCTTTCTTTCCCATCACAACAGTCATTGATAATTACTTGTGTAAATATGTTTAATCTGTCTCCCCACTGGATGGTGAACTCTTGGAGGGACCCTCTCATTGTCTCCATTGCCATGGTCCAGCACGGTCACTACCTAAAGAAACTTAGTAAATAGAAAATGAAGAATGAAGTGAGGGGACTTGCCCAGAGTCACCTGGTGGGTTGATGGCAGTTGGGCATATTTAAATCTGTTTCTTTCAGGCACTTATTACTTTCTACCATATCACAAGTGTGGGAGGTACCCTATGATACAGTCATTCTATTTTTCTTTTGGAGACTGAAACTTCTGTTCTCTTTGTTATTGGTTTTTGATGATGCAAGTAATTAATAATGTGATCACTGTAGAGCAAAAATGGGAGGGGGGAAAAAGGAGAAGTTCAATTAAGTCACCCTCAGTATCCAAATAACCGCTGCTCACATTTGGATATATATCCTTTCCCATGCTTGCATGCATCTGTGCATAAAATATGTGTTCATAAATATCAAAAATCTTTTTTGTACAAATCTGGGATTATATAAACATCAGTAGTATGTCAGTAACTATAAAACTTTTTTTTATCCTCACCCGAGGACATTTTTGCATTTATCTTCAGATAGAGCCGGAGGGAGAGAGGGAGGCAGAGAGAGAGAGAGAGAGAAACATCGACGTGAGAGAGACACATTGACTGGTTACCACCCACACGGCTCCATCGGGGACAAATTGCAACCGAGGTACATGCCCATAGCGGGAACCAAACCCAGGACTCTGGTCCACCAGCCGATGCTCTAACCACTGAGCCAAATCGGCCAGGGCTATAAAACATTTTAAATCACTCTAAAATATGTTATAGAAGAATGTATCATACTTTTAAAATTGGTCCTCTGTTGCTAGTCACATAGGTATTTCCAAGGTGCTGTAGTAAGAGAGAACACTATAATGAGCATGGAGATGGGGTTTTAAATATGCATTGGTTCCCTAGCTTGCCTTGTAGTTACTAATTAAACTTGATAGGTGATGTTTTAGTGAAATCTGTGTTTGACTTTCTCATGGTTTTATTAGCTGGGCAAGTGTTGAGAGGAAAACAGTTTAATTTGGACCAACACATAAGAATTTACTAAAGCGTACTCAGCAACTGAAGCTTCTTTTACAGTCTCTAATCTTAAAGGTTGGGAACACAAGATTTGGAGGTCGGAGATAGTAAGAAAAGGGGTACAAGAGGAGAGTTAACACCAATAAAGTACTTGCTTTATACTTGGTTCAGTGGGGAGTACTTAAAATAACAAAAAATGAGTGCTTTGAAAGTTAAAAGTTTTATATATAATTTTTTTCAAAATTGTTTGTTTTGCTTTTATCTTCAGAGAGAGGGGCAGGGAGAGAGGGGGAAGAGAGAGAAAGAGAGACATCGACGTGAGAGAGACACATCAAGTGGTTGCCACCCACACGACTCCAACTCAGGCCAGGGACAAACTGCAACCGAGGTACGTGCCTGAACCCGGGACTCTGGTCCGCGGGCTGACTCCCTAACCTCTGAGCCAAACTGGCCAGGGCAGTTTTTTTCAAAATTGTACAAATCAGAAGAGTTAATAAAAGAGAAAGTCCCTGATTCTCTCCCCTTTCCACAGACTTCTCATATATATTTTGTAACAATAGAAAGATCATACTATACATGCCATCCTATAATTTATTTAACCCAGTAAATCTATTCATAGTCAGTGTAGAAATATGTTCTACTTTTTTTTTTTTAATCAAGTTTTTAATATATAAATCTGAATTCTGTCAGTAATACCTAGATCGATTTCTTAGGTCAAAGTTGAGGCTAAATTCACTTTTAAATTCAAGGTTCCAAGCAGCTGCACCAACTAGCTCTCTGTATCCTGACAGCCTTTCCTCCCAGTGAGATGAGTCTATACTATAACAACCTTTGCCAATTTTATCATAATATTTATCACATTGTACTTTATTTTATTTTTTTATCCTCACCCAAGTACATTTTTCCACTTTTGTTCAGATAGAGTGGGAGAGAGAGAGAGAGAAAGAAACATCAACATGAAAGGCACACATCGAGTGGCTGCCTTTCACAAGATCTCAACCAGAGCCGGGGACAAATCATAACCGAGGTATGTCCCTTGACCAGAATGGAACCTACGACTCATTGGTCCACAGGCTGACGCTCTAACTGCTGAGCCAAACCTGCCAGGGCTATCACATTGTATTTTAATAACCAGTTTATCAGTGTCCCATTAGATTGAGGTTCCTTAAGAGCAGAGATTTTCATGTTTACTTTGCCTTGAAGTAGGTTCCAAATTATTTGCTAAATGAATAATGAACAATATTTCTATTCAAATGATATGATTTTATTCATAATTATTGAGCATTAATCTCTAAATATTCTATAATCTGATTTAAAATCCTAAAATTTAAACAAGAAACTTTTACCACGGCTTTGATTTAGTTTGTACTGACTTATTTTTTAAATTTCTAGCTTTGAGGCATTTTATTATAAAAAGTTGGTACTCATTCATTAAACTAATAACTTAAAATTCATCATACATTTACTTCATTATTTTTTGTTTGATCTAATAAATCTTGAGCTTCATTGATTTTGGCTGCTATATAAGAAGATTCTCCTTTGTCTTGGTGATTT